GTACGATATGTTCTTGACAAATTCTTAAAATAGGTACAGATAACTGGAGTCTTGATTAACATTAAATAATAAAAAGCATCATGCTAAATCAAACCCTGGACAGGACTCACACCAACACATAATTCATACTCTAGATAAAACTAGTTGGAGCAAACAAGGAAGATACATAAATTCAGTCAAAATTAACATTTTTTTAGGTATATCAAGAGAATGGACCAAAAGCTATTCTGAGTAATTTAACAACATAGTCAGAATCGAAAGCTTTCCTATTTATCTTGTTAGAAAATAATCCCATTTACAATGCCCAGGAGATAAACTTTAAAAGATGTGCATGACCTAATGATAAAAATATAAAAACTCTGAGACAAAAGACCATTATTAGTAAATGGGAAGATGTATGGCCATGCCATTGGATGAAAGTCTCTCTATCCAAAGTCTCCTCAATTTTATCTATTTCTTTAACTTGATCTCAATTTATCAGTTTTTCACAAACAGCCAAACAGACAGCTAGTGCCAAGTTTATATTGGAAAAGACATGCAAAAATTCCTGGAAATTTCTCAAGTAGTAATGAAGGTACTTCCTCTAAGTAGCTATTTAAATATAGTATCAAGTTACAGCAATGAACAATCACATTAGGTACATGGAAGTGACGGTAGCGCAGACACAGATTCAAATTCATGTAGAAACAGTGCTGATACTGGTAACATTTCAAGTGATGAGGAAGTGATCATTACATGGATCAAAGAACTGTCAAACACAAAAGGAACAAAGTTATTTTTTCTTATAACTTCAAGTGGGGAAGGCATTAGGAAAGACAAAACTCAATAACAACTACATCAAAGGTATAAAATTTTACTTGGCAAAAATGCCATTAACAAGGTGAAAATTGTAATGGTAAAAATATTTGCAATTTCTAATACAAAGGTGAATATCTTAAATGCCGTCGTTAGGTGCCGTTGACTCCAACTCACAGCAACCCTACGGACAGGAGAACGACACACTGCTTGGTCCTGCACCATCGCTGCAATCCTTGTTACATGTGAGCCCACTGTTGCAGCTGTCAATCCATCTTGTTGAGGGTCTGCCTCTTTGTCGCTGACCCTCCACTTTCTTCTCCAGGGAATGGTCCCTTCTGACAACATGACCAAAGTAGGTGAGACGACGTCTGGCCGTTCTCGCTTCCAAGGAGCATTCCTGCTGCACTTCCTCCAGGACAGATCTGTTCATTCCTCTGGCAGCCCACGGTACTTTCAGTATTCTTCGCCGACACCACAACTCAAAGGCATCATCTCTTCTTTGATCATCCTTATTCATTGTCCAGCTTCTTATATGCTACAACTCTTAAAAATATGAATGGCTTAACAGATTAAAAAAGTCAACTTTATTAATAAAAGGCAAAATTTAAACATTTTTCTCATTAGTTTGGCAAGAGTCAAAATATTACTGATACAGGTGTGAATTAGGCATCCTCACACATCTGTTGGTGTGTTATCAGTAAACCTGCTAATATGAAAAGGCTCCTATCTTTTTGTCTCTACTTCCATGAATTTTATCTTCTAGATACACTCACCAGTGTCCAAAGATATGGCTGTTCACTGTGGTGGTGTATTTTTTTTGGGGGAAGGGGAGCAGGTGGTAGTAGCAGAGGATTAGAAACAATTTCCCACCGGGACTATACCTACTCCTTTTCACTCGTTGACTATCTCATTATCTGACATTTTGAATTTATGACAATGGAAAAATCTATTGTCTTAATTTACACATTAACGTACGTCTGGGAGTAATGAATACCGAGCTATGAGGTGAGAGTACCACTGGCTGTGATGGTTATGTCAGCTTGGCTGGGCCATGATTTTCAGTCATTTGGCAGTTATGTAGTGATGTTGTCATCTCCCATTTTGTGATCTGATCTTCATTTTCGCATAATGCTGATTTTCACATAACCACCTGGTCTTTGGAACCTAACTATGTTGATAAGTAAGGGATGGGTGTATTTAAATAAGTTATATATCTATAGACTGGAATACTATATAGCTGTCATAAAAAAACATAGACTGTCAGATGGATATACCATCCAGTCTTACAATACACTCTTATTTGTATAACTATATGGGGTTATACATGTGTATGCTAAAATATACACAGAGTATTTTAGAATAATATAAAAGAAACAGGTAACTGTCTGATTCTGGGGAGGAGATGGATAGGGATCAGGAAATGCAAGCAGACTCACTTTAAAACTATTATGGTTTGAAATTTTTAGAAAATGTTTTACCGATTTTTTTAATTTAAATAATTCAAAAGGAAAACTACTTTAAATCGATGCTCATTTAAATGCCTGAATGATCAAAAATTTTGAGAAACAACTAGTCACAAGCCATTAACTCAAAACTAAGTCTGACATTTCTGAAATAGGACAAATTACATAGAGTATGTCAATTTGAAATGTTTTCAATCATAGACTAATTCTAATGAACACTGGGCCCAAGTGTAGACCAGGCAGTGTTTTGTTCTGCTGTGCACAAGATCATTATGAGTCGGATCTGACCTGATGGAACATAACAGACAGTGCTTACAGACATGTTTTAATGAAGATTAATTTTTAGCATATTATGTAAATATAAGTGAATTTGAGCAGAGTTTGTGCTATGTTACGTAATCCTAAGGACCTGTTTAAAAAGGGGAAAAAAAAACTATCAAATCTTCCTAGAGATACTTGTTAGAAGAAAAAAAGCAACAGATCCATTTGTTCATCTTCGTAGGTAACTTTATTTGGTTTTTAGAAAAATATATACAATTATCTGAACCTCAGTTCTCTTAAATAGTTTTAAATTAAAAGTATGCAAGTGAGAGGAGGAATAGATCTCTACAGTCAGAACATACAATACTGTTTAATAAAGCAGCACACAGGGCTGTCTGCAAGTCAGAAACATTTACAGGAATAACAGGAGCTGAGTGGGAGCAGCTTGAGGCTAGCAAGGTAGCCAGCTTGTTTGATCTGCACTCTTCAGTTAAAAAATATTTGATTTGGGGGGTAGAAGTCCTCTAGGGTATACACTAACAAGCTAATGTTGATCAAACCAAAGTTTGTGCTTTCAGTAGGGTCTCAGTTCAATTCAGGTACATTACGGATTACCTGCCAGTCACAGTTCAACTGGTGCCACATGTAACAAAACCCAAGGGACTCAGTCAGGGTAGTTGTTAATGCCATTTATTGTGGATTAGACCTCTGCTTTCTCCTGAACATCCTTCTGAAATGAATTCACAGTATCCAACAGCGTTTGCAAGGTATTTTGGTTTGGCAACCCCCTCCCTGACTTCTACAGACTTCTAAGAAGTGCCTAGAAGCAGTGGGAGTTGTCTCAGCTTTGCTTCAACTCTGCCCTTTTCAACACACCACAGTTAACCAAAAGGTCAGAAGGAAAAAGATGAGGCCGTTGGCTTCCGTAAAAATTTACAACTTTGGAAACACTATGGGGCAGTTCTCTGTCCTACAGGGTCTCTGTAGGGAACTGACTTGACAGCAGTAGGTTTGGTTTTAGTTTTTGGTACAGTTACTACAGGAGCTCTGGTGGCCCAGCTGTTAAGCCCTTGGCTGCTGATTGAAAGGTCAGCAGTTCAAACGTTTTAGTGGCTCCAAGGGAGAAAAAAAACCTAGTGATCTTCTCCCATGAAGATTTCAGCCTAGGAAACCTATGGAGTAGTTCTACTCTGTCCTTTAGGGTCACTATGAGTTAGAATCGACTCGATGGCATACACCACCACCACAGTTACTACACAGACCTACTTCTCCAGGAACACACATCTCTCCACTGACTTGGGGGCTTTTCCAGGAGTCAAAGCCTAACCAGGGCACCAGCCAGAGGCCAGTTTGTCCTGAGATTTCCTGGAGAGCTTAAAGGGAACTGGATGCAAAGCTGACACCAGTAGCCACCTCCTTTCCTCACTGTACACAACTGCTAAATAAGCACAGCAAGGAGGCAAGTGGCATGAGCAACATGAGGCTGTGACAGGACAGCTCCTCTGGAAGAGAGAGGTGACAGGAAATAAGCAAACTTGTAGGAGGCTGTTGGTTCAGTTAAGAATGAGAGGAGAGGGACTGGTATTTTGTTCTCTGTTCGTCTATCTCCTGCTTAGTTTTCCTGATGCAACTAAAGATCTCCTTAAAAAGGGCTTTGTATTCTGGAGGAGTTGCAGCAGTGGGGGAGCCAGTGGGCTCCGGGGTAGCACAGGCAGAGCCAGGTCCAGCCCCGGGCTCAGGCAGGGCCTTGGCGGGAGCCCTGGAGGTCTGCACAGCTTTGTGGGACAGGGAGTCCTGCTCCTGCTGGCACCTGCGCAGCAGCTCCTCGTACTTCACCTTCAGGGCGCTGTACTGAGTGTCCACTTCGTGCAGAAGGGAGATTCCCCTCTGCTTCACAGCCTTGGCCCTCCTGATACAGGTTTCCTCGTGGCCCTTCACGATGTCTCCCCCTGCCAAGCTGCTCAGGGCCGTCTCGCTGCTGCTGCGCTTGAGAGGCTTTCGAGGCGCTTCCGGCGCCGCCGGGAACATCTCCTCCAGCAGGCTCTGGCTGGGCTCTTTGAAAGGGACAAGCAGCGAGTCTGGCACTAGCTTCTCCACCCCATTCACAGAAGGGCGCTCCGACCGCAGCATCTGCCGCATCTCTGCCACCTCCACCTCTAACTCCAGGGCCCGTGCTCGGTAGGCATCCAGAGCTCCCAGCTGCTGTTCGAGCTCACTGTTTTCTTTGAGCACAAGCCCATACTCTTCATCCATAGTCACCCGCTTCTGCCGCTCCAGGCTCAGCTGGGCCTGCAACATCGCCACTGTTTTTTTTAAGTGCTCATTTTCTTCTTCATCAGGGCTTGGTTCACTTTGCAAGGAAGTTATCTTCTCAGCGAACACATGATCATACACGAAGTGTCTAAGGGGAAAATGGTGAAAAATGCATTACACAGGTCAAGTGAGAACGAAGAGACCACTAATGTTTTCAATGAGATATTGCAAAGGCACTGTGACAGTGACTGGCTTTTAGCCTATTCCCACATTACAGGAGTGGCTAAAATAAAATTGTATGAGGCTGATAAATAAACACATGTAAGAAAATAATCTTTGTGACTAATATATGTATGTTGTTGTTGTTGTTGTTGTTTGCGGTCGAGTCGGCCCCGACTCATAGCGACCCCTCCTTGGGTTTCCGAGGCAGTATCACTACGGAAGTAGGATTGCCCAACCTTCCTTCTGAGGAGTGGCTGGTGGGTTTGAACCGCCAGCCTTCTGGTTAGCAGTCAAGTGCCTTAGCCACTATGCTACCAGAGCATAGAAGTTTATATATATACTCTATATCAAAACACTCATTCCCAAAGACTAATAGTAGGACAGCTACCTTATAAGGAAATCAGAACAGCCCAAAGGAACTCTGATGGCATCGTGCCTAAGACATCTGACTGCTAACCAGAAGGTTGGCGGTTCAAACTCACCAGCCACTCCACTGAAGGAAGAGGGGTCAATCTACTTCCATAAAGATTTGCCATCTTGGAAACCCAGTGGGGATTACTATGAGTTGGAACCGACTTGATGCAATGAGTTTGGTTATTGGTCCTCCACCTTGGCAGCATATAAGAATCACCTGGGCAGTCTTAAAGACTCAGGTGCCTGGGTCCCACTCCCACAGGTTCGGACTAGTTGAGCTGTGGCCTGGTTATGGGGGCCATTGATCACCCTCTCCAGGTGATGAGTAATGTGCAGCCAAAGCTGAGAACCATCAGTGCAGTGCTTTTTAACTACATCCTCCTGGGAAGGAAGCTTCCTGGGAAGCTCTTCTCCCATACCTGGAGACTCTGGTTTAAACGGCAGAAGAGTCCCAGGTATCTGCAGTCTGAGAAATGCCACAGGTGATGTAATACCAAGCCAAGATTTGGAACCACCAAACAAGTGACCCAGTCACTCTCCTGCTCAGTCTTCGCAGCTTGTTAAGTGTATCTTGGTGTGATTACATTGATCTGTCTCTCCACTGGACTGAAAGCTCCAAGAGAGCAGAACCATGTTGGTTTTGTCCACCACGGATTCCTCATGTCTGGCATAGCACCTGACATAGAACAGGGACTCAATAAACAGCTAATAATCAAAGGTTCAATCTCATCACTCTGAATCATGAAGGTATTTCTGTGAACAAAATACTTCTGGTCACCTAGAGTTTTGTTTTTACTCAGTTTCCAATTTTTGCTTCACTTAATGTGAAATCACAACCCCCAAATCTATAAAGTGTATCAGAAGCACTTCACCTTATTCTATACTAAGATTTAATTCATTAAAAGCACTAAAATAAAAGCTTTCAAGCCTCTCTTTAAAAAATGAGTTTTCACACAATTATTAGTATCAAAACACTGTATAATCTATATGGCTTTGTTCAAACCACTGGTGGTTTGAGGGCCAGGTGGCATTTCTTGAAAAGGGTACTTGAACTCCAGTGGAATCCAGAATGTGTCAACAACATGTGAAGCTCCCTGCCCATAAACACCGCAGAAAGGCAGACTCTTACTGGCGGAGGTCATAAAGCTCTTTCAGACATGAGAAGCTGGGTGCCGATTTCCGCTGCTCACATTTCCCCTGGTCCCTCCTCCCTTGGTCAGATGACCTCAGCTCCTCCACTTGGCTCTGAAGACGGTCAATGTTGGTTTGCAGACATTCAATAGTTTCAGTCAGACTGTGAGGAAAAAAGAGAAGCCAACAGCTCCTTGTTACATTAGATTAAGGGGATAAGCGATGCCAAGAGATTAGCTGAGAACCACTCAAATTGGCCCTTTTTAACTGGAAGGCACTTCTATTTAATCTACATTGTCCATAAAAAATTAAATTAAACCTTACTCTGTACTAACCCAAACCAACTACACCAAGTTCTATTCCAGTCTATACTAAATAACTCCCCTTAGGGCTTCCTTCATGGATTCTGGAAAGTTTACCTCAGAATCTTCTGCTGTGAGGCCTTGCTGTCAGCAACTAGTTTCTGATTGGTTTCTTCTAGTTCCCTTGCTGTGACATCTAACTGCTCATAAACCTTCGCATGCTGTTCATTCATCTGCCGGAGAAGCTCCACCTGCTTGGTCAGGTACTGTAGGAGAAGATGATTGTGACCAGGTTACTCATTCAACAGAGAAGATATCACAGGTTTATTTTATGAAAAGAAGAACTTTAAATCCAACTGAACGCCTGCCCTGTCTGAACAGGAAGTGAGCGCAGGCCATCCTTTCTTTGTTCCCCTAATGCTCACCAATACTCATGCATGATGAGGACACAGGACGTAAACCTGACACTCAACAGGATAACCTAGAGTGAGATAGGAGAATCTCACAAGGGGAAAACATGGAACATGGGATCAATGATTACAAATTAACAGCCTAAACTGGAGAATTTTAGATGATTTTCATATGAAAAATGAAATTTTGTTTTTTCTCAGTGAAGCACTCTAGACAAAAATATAGTGAAAAGTACACTGATTTTATCATAGAGATACTTTCACTTAATATGTTTCAAAGACCCTTATTTTCAATCCTGCAAGAATTTTATCACCATAATGCTCCTTATCTATGAGATATCTACCAGATGATTTTGGTACTGCCAAACCACCTTTCTAAATGGCCAAGGGTAAAGGGGAACAACCCCACTCTTAATGCCTTAGTGTTAAGTCACGTTGATCCTCTCCCCTCTCCACTCTCACCCTAAGACACTGAAACACAGTATACATTTCAAATGAAACATGCATAGTATCTGCCTGGGGAACAAGCAGGAGAAACAAAAAAGTAGGTTTGGGGCATTAAACCAAAACTAAACGCACTGCCATCATGTTGAGAATGGATAACCAAACTATGGTACATTCACACAATGGAATACTATGCAACATTAAAGAATAATGAAGAATATATGAATCATTGTTATGTGCCGTCGAGTCAGCCCCAACTCATAGTGACCCCTCCTTGGGTTTCCGAGGCAGTATCACTACGGAAGTAGGATTGCCCAACCTTCCTTACGAGGAATGGCTGATGGGTTTGAACTGCCAGCCTTCTGGTTAGCAGTCAAGTGCTTTAGCCTTTGCTTGCTGAAA